TGATGGAGGACCATCCTTGAAGACACATGTGGGCCCCATCACTAGGTCCATGGCTAGGAGGGTCGAAGAGGAGGAGGGTGTTCACACACCTAGGGATACTCTCCTCATGATCATAGAGTATTAGTACTCTCCTAAGCCTCATTAGTATAGGGTTTATTTTATTTGCCAATTTTACCCTTGTATTTTGGGGTATTTTAGTCATAGGATTTATTTTCTTTGTATTTCCTATTTTACCCTTGTATTATGGGGTGCTTTAGATGATTAGGGTTTTTTAATTTGGGCTAGGGTATTACATAGGAGGTGACGCCTAGTTTGGTGAGTTTGGACCTATTTTTGGTGATTAGAAAGGCTTAGGCCCAATGGAGGGCAAAGGTTGCATGGACTTATCATGCACCTAGAAATAGCCAATCTAATCCCATAGATTCCAAACTTGGCCACCAAGTTGCATCTAGGATTAATTTGGCATTACATTTGGAGTGCATTTGCCTTGGCATTTTCGGCCATGCACACCCTAAATGCAACCCTAAATGCAACTTCTCCTATAAATACCCCACCCCCCACCACTTGTAAATACTTTTGGATATATATGAATTTGAGTGAGCATTCTTATGCCTCAAGTCCCTATCCTTAGTCCCTAGCTAAATTCGGCTAGCCTACCTCCATTCTCCACCCTTGGAGAGTGAGACCTAGAGTGGCCTCCACCTACCTTGGAGTGAGCCAACCTAAATCACCAAACACCATCCCCAAAAGCTTACGCCCAACACCTCCTTTTTTTCGGCCATCTTCATTCTTCCCACCATAAAGCCTCCATTTTGTCTCCCTTGTTGAACCTAGATCAAGGGTTTTGGCGTGTCTTATGGTCAAGACTAGGAACTAAACTCTTTTCAACTACTTGTCATCTTCAAACAAATGGACAAACTGAGATAGTTAATAGATCTTTGTCTACTATGCTTAGGGCAGTTCTAAAGGGCAATCACAAATCTTGGGATGAGTATTTGCCACACATTGAATTTGCCTATAATAAGGTAGTTCACAAAACTACCAACATTTCTCCTTTTGAAGCTGTGTATGGGTTTAATCCTTTAACTCCTTTGGATTTGATACTCCTTCCTAATGTTGAGCATTTCATTCATAAGGAAGGTGCATCAAGAGCTGAATTTGTTAAGAAAATACATGAAAGGATTAAAACTCATATCCAACTCCAAAATGAGAAGTATGCTAAACAAAACAATAAAGGTACCATGGTTAGCCTTCTTCCACTCAAGCTAACAGGTCTAGTTAGTTTAGGAGGCTTGTGGAGCAAGCTTCTAACTTAAAAGCTTGGGAAGCAAGCTAAGTTAGAAGCTTGTAGCACAAGCTTCCCAAGTGTGTAGAAGAAGCTAGGGTAATTCAACCATGAAGGGAGCTAGGCAGCCAAGGATGTTTTCCCACATTTAGTCTAATCCAAAATTCTTAGAGTTGGTTTAGTTAGGTGATGGAAGAGCATGGACCAAGGATCCAACCACTAGAGCTATGGCTAGTAGATTACTAGAAGACATGACTGCTTCAAAGCTTAGTGGGCCCAATGGGCTTGGTGGGCCTAGGGTGCTCCTCACTTGGGCTTTACTTGATTGACACCATGTTTTTATTGCATATTCATAGAATAGGAATTTACTTTGCTTTTGGTCTTGTATTTTGACCATAGATTAGGGTTTGTGAACTTTGGGCTTGTATTTGGGCTTCATGGGCTTTTGGGCTTTTGATACCCAATATTGGGCTCATTCTCTTTCTTGTAATTTTTCCTATTCATTGTATTTCTTTGACCATTGTATTTAGGTCATTAGTTTAGGACTTAAGGAGGATTTCTAGTTTAAGTGAATTAGGCAAAACTAGGTTTAATTTAGTATGCATTTAAGTTGCATTTTGAGTCACATGGATGGCGCCACCTTGGCTGAACATGTGTGACTCAAATTCAACCCTAAATGCACACTAAATCAAATCTAAATGCACCTAGCACTCATGGGTCCGGTCGTACACATGTGTGATGAGATTTGAATTCAAATTCAAAATTTGAATTCAAATCTTGGTGCCAATGTGGAGGCTTCACATGTGGCGCCAAGTGTAACCTAATTCTGGAAACATAAAAGGGTCCCTCCTCACACTTTGTACTCACTTTTGAACTTATGAAATTTCAGAGCATTTTTTGCCAAATTTCCCTCAAGAGTCACCGAGAGAGAGCCATCACTTTTTAGGAACCCTAGTTAGGTTTTTCCTACCTTTTGAAGTGAGCTTTCTTTTGTTCCTTAAACTTGGATCTTCCCTCCATAGTTTAGGTCACCTTTGTCCGAAAACTTTCCTCCATTCAAGTGTTCATACATTCAGATTTCAAGCTCCATTGAAGAGGTCCAAGCCTAGGCGAATCCAAGGAGAAGAACACCTACCACTTCTTCTAGTTTTGCCATCATTAGGTTCACCAAATGATGGTGAAACCTAGCCAAATAAATTCCTTGGAAAAAAAGCCCAATATGTAAAATTTATTCTAGGTCCACTTCTGTCCCAATTACTGTAGACACCCAATTTCGTCCGGGGACACACAAACAAGGAAATGGACCTCCGTTAAGAAGGAAAGGAGCTCCCGAAGCAGGAAAACAACAAGACAGGACATCAGAAGGCCTAAAGGCCAAATAAGGTGGTTTTAGAAGTCCGGAATGGGCTGTTCCAAAATTGGAACGGGCCGTTCCGAAGCCGGAAACAGGCAGTTCTAATATCAGAACAGATCGTTCCAACGTGACTAAAACACCTAAAGAGTCCTAGGCTAGAACAGGTCGTTCCAATACCAGAATGGGTCGTTCCAAACAAGTCAAATTTGGAACGGGCCGTTATGGAAAGGACAACTTTGTGTTAATTTCCACTCTGGAATGGGCCGTTCTGTTTTCAGAATGGGTCATTCCAGGGTGCGTAATTAACACATAACAACTGGCCTAGAACGGACCGTTCCGAATCCGAAACGAGCCGTTCTGGCCCCCTTCTGATTCCTATAAATAGAAGTCTCGGGCACAGTTCTCAGGGCGGCTAGAGAAATTTCGAATAAGACTCTTTTGAGCACGAAAATTCTCTATCTCTCTCCCTTCTATTGTATTTCTTGAGATTTGTGTCGCATCTCTATCTTCTCTCTCCCTCCTATTGTATTTCTTGAGATCTGTGAGGCATACTATAGTGTGAAAGGTCGCCACAAAGCACCTTCTCCATATTTGAAGATTCAATAAAGCTCGTTCAAGAGGTATTTCAGTCAATCTTCTTCTCTTCCTTTTATTTCTCATCTTTATCTTTTTTTTTGTTATAATAAACGTCATAATGTAGATATTTTAGGGTTAATTGCTTAATTTATATTTTAAGCATGTAAATAAAACTCTCAGGAATGTAGTGATGGTGATGATCTTTTCAAAACATTTCACAGAATGTTTTTCTTCTTGATTTCACAAAGAAAACTCCCCGACAAGGTCACAAAGACTCCACAATATCAGTTTTTCTCTTTTGCTTTCAGTTTATCTCATTTTTTCATAAAGTTTCAAAATGTGAAAGCTATTTATAAAATTTCAGATCCAGATAATCAATTATTTTAAAGGATGATCGATTATTTTGTTCTTCATGATTTCTGGAAACCACTCAAGAATAGAATAATCGATTATTTTGCAGGATAATCAATTATTCCAGAGAGTGCTTCCTGGAATAATCTATTATTTCACAAATAATCGATTATTACAGCAAGGCTCTTTTCACCTGTTGCTGGAATAATCGATTACTCTTAATGATAGTCGATTATTTTGAGTTAGCTTTCAGAAACTCAATTTTATACTTCACAAATATTTTTAAGTATTTTAAATCATCATCATACTCACTTTCAGTCAATTTAGATCAAGATTGACTTATGGACAAAGCACACACATTCAAAATAAACTAATCAAAACAATACAACATATAAGAACTTATAAGCTACTTCTATTACACATCATACTTTTCATATTTTTCTTTCTTGGCTAGTTTGTGTCCTTGATCAGCTTCAACTCCTTTGTTATCATCAAAACTCTCATGCTCTCTCATGCTCTAGAGCTGAGTTGATTCACTACTCCATAAATCTCAACACTAATTATAATTAAGACATCTAGATTATCAAGATACAAAAAAAGAACAAAGAGTTTAGATCTTCCCTATGGACATGCAAAAGGGCGATCCTATTGTGTTTGAATTCGATAGTAAATTAAAAAGGCCCAATTGTAAATTGTAGAAAAGAGATCCGCAGAAAGATTTTAGATCAATTTGTAGCTTTAAGAATCTGTTAATAATTTAACCCACCTTTTTACTGCACTAATTTCCTTTAATTATTAGATCTTGAACTTGAACCTCTTTTATCTCTATAGTCCAAATATTTGATGGTAAGAATCCAAATATTTTCTTCGACAACCTTTCTTAGCATTAAATGATACATGCACGAATTCAACAAACAATATATATAGATAATCAATGGTTATGGTTACATGATGGCACTGCTCAAAGCAAAAGGATAATAAATAAAAGAAGCAATATACTTTTTCTATAACATGACACTGTGACATTTGTATAGTACTCTCACAATATTGGAATATAGCTAAATAAATGGAAGGTTTGAAGTCTTTATTGTGTAAATTAATTGATATAAAAATGGACCCTAAGGGAAATCTGGTCTTACAAAAATAGAAAGATAAGTAATTAGAAACAGAAATTATAAGAAACATACTAATATCTCATGTTAAATGAAGGTACGAAGAGCTTCTCCATTCATAGTCGCTCTTTGAGGCCAAAAGTACTTGATAGAACCAACATATGAAATATGTACACAACACTTAATTGGATTGCCTCATTCTGATCCAAACTCCTGGACATACATTACAAAAAAGCATACATTTACTCCTTGAAATTGTTAAAATAGATGGGACTGCTATCAGTTTTGAATATAATGCCAGCGATTTACTCCTCAAGTAATTAAAAAATATATATCTATTCATTGGTTAACCTCTAGGCATACTTTTGATGTGTAAGAAAACCCGGCTAGGTAATTTTCCTCAACAAATATGTCCAAAAATTGTTTCTTCACTTTCAATTACTTCTCGACAAATAGCATTACTTTAAAAGACTTTCTGCTAATACTTATTATGACTCTGTTTATACATTTTTTAGCCATTTCAACCCACACCAGCTGCTCTTCCAACATCACTTCCTAGGTGAGTGGCTAACCCATCTCCTGTTCCACAACTTTTCGACTTGTGATGGACCAAGAAATACGAAAATCCAACATGACAATGTAAAAAGACCTCAACAGCTATAATAACACATTGAAATCAAAGATCCTACTTGTACTAAAAATTAAATAACAAGCACTTGTGAAAGAAAAAAGCTAACCTGAGATGAGAGGTGAAGCACAAACACAGTCTCCGTCACCACAAATTGGTCCAAGGTCAACGATTTCCCCTTCTTTTTCCTCTCCCCATGCACGAGCGACGATAACAGTGTTGTGGCCTCCGAAAAAACCTTTATCCTATCCAACAACAGTGACTCCCCCTTCCTCTCTCCCTCCACAACCTACCACACGAGAATCACACAATCCTTGCCAACACGATAACCATATGGTTGTGGGTTTCGTCGAGGCTGTCGATTTCGTTGCGGTTGTCAATTTCGTTGAAGAGTATCAATTTCATCCAGGCTTCAAGAGTGAGACATGATTTTGAGAGCATGAATTTGATTTAGGGTTGGAGTGATGAGAGGGGAAATGGAATTGGTAGTACCGTTATTATTTTCAAAACAAACAGAAAGTCATTCTCATTTTAAAAAAATAACATTCTTTTATAGATTATATGCATAATAAGGCTTATCACTTTATTATTATAGATTATTAGTGTATAAAATATATTTTATACTTTTGTGAATTATTTTTAAAAATAATAATAAATAATAAAAGTTAGACAATTATAAATAATTATTAAAAATACAAACAGTTACTTATAAAATAGATAATTATTTATGATGTGGAAGAAGTTTGAAAAACAAAATCTATCCGGAAGAGTTATAATTAAGTGATTATAAAAGGATGTAATAGTTCAATATATGTGTAATCGGAAAAAGCATCATATTTGTTATAGTTATAGGTTATAGATAAATTATAAATTATTTTCCTTTAAAATTATTTTTAACCACATGGTTATTTAAAAAAATACATTACACTTAAAAGATTGATCTATTTGAATAAAAATGAATAATAATAATAATAATAATAATTATTATTATTATTATTATTATTATATTAAATTTAATATAATATATTGAAATTATATATAGTTTTATTTATCTTTTTAAATATTAAACTTGTTGATTTATATAACAAAGTGAATTTTATAAGTTTGTTGAAAGATAAATTCATATTCTATATATTTACATATTCTATTACAATTTTTTTTAAAAAAATAAATTATTACTAATATTAAACTTTAAAATATTAAAAGAAAAAAAATGTATGTATTTCGTTTCTACACTGTATTAAAAGAAATATAATAAAAAATGTGAGAAAACAAAATCTTAAATATTACTTACGGCAAAAATTTCGTAGGTAATATTCTATAGATAACTAAACATTACCTACGAAAAAAATTATGTTAGTAATATTCCGTAAATAACTAAAAATTACCTACGAAAAAAATTCTATAGGTAATATTCCGTAGATAACTAAACATTACCTACGAAAAAAATTTCGTAGATAATATTCCGTAGATAACTAGACATTACCTATGAAAAAAATTATGTAGATAATATTTCATAGATAATAACAGTTTTTCTTGTAGTGAGTCTTTCTACATTAATTTTAGTATCAATTGAAAGTTAAATTTATACTCAATTGATTGAGTTTTACTTTAATCAAATTGGTAAAAGTTAAAATGACCACAAAATGTGCTATTTATTCCTATGTTGTCTTTCAGTGTTAGTTTCCTAATATTTGTATTCCATGTGTATGATAAATTTCCTTAGTGGCCTTGTTTTTATCAATACTGGTATTTACCGAGTACTAACACTACTAAACCTATATCTTTTTTTTGCTCGAGAAGATATAAAGTCTTCGGTAAGTGTAAAATATAATAAATAATAGTACCTTTGCCAAAAAAAATTGATCTAACTTACACAATGAATTTAAAGGAAAAATATATTGTTTATTAACACGTTGGCATTAGCAAAAGCCAATAGTTGGATGGCTTGTAACCAAGCTATGTCTCTTTCTCTTTGGGAAATTTAGGTTGTCAAGTGTTGCTTTATTATGCACTTTGTTGAAAACTCAGTTTTATGGTGTGAATGAATGACTCTATCATGGCAGAACAACACCTTTTTATATATGATTCTAAGGCATTGAGATTTTAAGCATTCTCATTCATTAAACCCTTTAGTCTAAGTTTTTATTTGGAAAAATATTGGTAAAATTAATTTTGATTGAAACTATATAAAGATGCTTTAGCTTTAAAATCAACAAACACACTAAATAGGTGCAGCCTCCGAGAAATGCATGTATTCAATTTTTCAAAGTTGACTTTAAGTCAACAAATGCGGTGACTCTGTGAGTCAATGGGGCAAAGCCTATTTATGCATGTTATAGTCAATCTTGGATTTGAGGATAAACGAGTGATCAACTAAAATGTTAGTCTTAGACATAAATAAAGTTTAGTTTCTCAAACATTTGATAAGCAAAATCTTTCTCTATAAGATACCATTAACTATGGGATGCAACAATTTGTTTTTCACAAAATATTTTGATTTGCAAAGGATGCAAAATTTTTGTGACTGTCTTCATTGTTATTTATGGTATGGTTATTATGCAGATAGTATTGGAGTTAAAAGCCACATCTACAACATCGAAGCTTCGATCAGAGGCAATTGCAATAAGCAATAGTGGATCATGGCAATTATCATGTCATTATATTTTGCTGAGATATTGATTTTAATGTTATGATAGGTTATGGTTGGCATGCAGATACAAAGAAGTTGTGGTTCATAATTCTATAGTTGATACTTTATCAATTTGTCACACTTGATATTTTCAACACAATGTCATCCCTTTTCTTGCACCTACCTTTTTTTTGGAGGTATATTTTATTCACTACCTCTATTTCTAACTAAATGATTTCTTGTATAGTCTTGGATTGTAGCAGATTTATTTCAAAGATAATATTTGTCATGACTAGTTCAAATATGTTGAGTTGTAGAGAAATATTGGCCTCCTAGGTTTCAAATAGCTTACTTTGCTCGGCCAAATAGAACTAGTAGATTATCACAAGTTTTCTTCAATTTGAGTGTTGGACCATAACCACTTACTTTTTCTTACACGCGTGGAACATTATTTGAGGTAGAGATTCTATTACATTACAGGAGTTAGAACCTATATGCAAATTGCACGCTTACTATTTTTTTTTTACTATAACTTGAATATGTCTTGTATCTAGATGTATGGTTTTTTACCATGGTAAGATGAATCACGTTGATGGATACACGTTGAATAACAGAGTTTATATTGGACAATATATTATTAATCAATAATTATCCTTTTCTAGTGAGTTTCCTAATCACAATAGATTATGAGAATATACAATTGATTTCTTGAAACATGAATTTTGGAAGTATTTTTAAAAGCCAATCAATTGCTATGAATCCAAATATTCTGGACTCTAGAAACTAATTGGAAACAAAAAACAGAACATTTAGTGAGCTATCTTTTATGAATGCATTAGAAAACAAACCTACATGAATGGATTTAGCAAATGAGCAAGTGATAAAGAGCTGGTTTGAGTGCTCAAGATAGGCATCATATAACTTAGTACATGGTTCTTCTGCATTAATTACATGTTTACAAGATTAACATAGTTCATGGTTTTTTTTGCATTGATTACATGTTTATAAGATTCCCATTATTCTAAAATAAAAGAATAAAACATCTAAATACTCATACTTGTCCTTTCAACATCTCTTGATTTTATATCTGTTTTACAAAACAAAGTGTAATGGGGAACCCTTTTTGTAATTCACTCAAACCTTCTACCATAACGATAAACAAGAAATGAACTAAAGGGTCTTCCTCTTAACCCTTTTTGTACCTAAAATTATTTTGTTGGGTTACCATTCACAATTATAGATACATAACTTGTTTGTAAGAATTTTGAAATCCAATTTACTCACTTATTGCAAAAACCCAATTGTTGAAGCATATAACTAAGAAATTCCTAACAAACAAAATTGTAGGGCTTTTTATAATCCACCTTGAACATAATGCATTTCTTTTTCTTTCTTTTTGCCTCATCAATTATTTCATTTTTTTTATCAAGACTTCGTGCAATAAATTCGTAGTGCCTAGAAAACATGATTGAGACCAGTCAATTGCATATTGTAGACACTCAATTTGGTCCAGACCCATAAACAAAGAAATGGGCTTCTCTTAGGAAGAAAAAAAGTGTCCCAAAACCTGAGAATGACCTCAGAACCGAAGGGACATGACACCAAAGGGCCCAAGGCCCAGTAAAGGCTAGTCAAGGGTCTAGAACGGGTCATTTCCAATCTGGAACGAGTCATTTCGACAAGGTTTTGATGGCAAACCTAGGTGAGGAGGATGGATGATCTTCACCTTAAGCTTGCTCTGACCACTTGATCTTCTCCTTGAAGGTTGCTGGACGGAATTTCTAGCTAGGAAGAACCTTGATGACGGAAAGAAAAAGGAAGAATGAAGAAGGGAGCACCAAAGCAAGGTGAGTAATGGATTGCTCACAAAGGTGCTAAACCTAGAGAAAGTTCAAAGGAACCTAAGCTAGGTGAGAGTGACTTTGAGGAGAGACTTGGCTGAAATGATTTCAGAAAACTAATTAATACTCAAATTTCTGAATTGTGAAGAGAAAAGTCCAATTTCTAGGCTAAGGAAGCAAGCATAATGGTGCTAACTCATGGAGCAAAATTGGCGCCAAAAAATTTGAATTTCAAATGGGATTTGAAATTCAAATTTCTTGACAGCCCCATGTGCACGTCCAAGACCTGATTCCATGTGCATTAAGGTTGCATTTAGAGTTAATTTGATGTTTATTTGGGTGGTCCATGTGCAGCACCATGTGGGTTAGCCCATGTGCACCAAATGCAACTCAAATTACTCTTAAATGTGACCTTAATTTTAGCTAACTTTGCCTAATTAAACTTTCCCTTCATAATCATATTCTAATGGCCTAAATACAATGGCCAACCAAGTACAGTCAAAAGTAAAAATTACAAGAATCAAAATGAGCCCAATATTGGGTACCAAAAGCCCAAAAGCCCATGAAGCCCTAAACTAGGCCCAACAAGCCTATGGCCCAAAAATGCTACTCTATGTGGTCCAAAATACAAGACCAAATTATATGAAACCTATGCTAATATAATATATACAAAATAGAAGAGAATGGTTATATCAAGGTGTGGCCCATGTGAGGATCAACTTGGGCTTTCCAAGCCCGTCGGGGCCCCATTAGGCTTTGACTGGCCCAAATCTTCATGCCTATCCCATTTCTCTTGGTTCCTTCAAGGTATCTGATGGAACCAACTTCTTCATGAGGGCTAGTGGTTGATTCTTTCTCTTCTCCAAGGTTGAGATGACATGAAGGGTGATCTTTTCAAGGGTGTGGAAGTGGTGGAGATGGTGTTTAGGTAGGTGCAGGTTGACGCACAAAATGGAGGGGAGGAAGGGAAGTTGTTTGGTGGTGTAACTCCTTTAGGCTAGCTCACTTCACTTAGGATGATGAAGGCC